AAGATTTAATTTAATAGAGAAATTCAATTTTAAATATATAGTATTTTAAAATATCCAAATAATGTATTTAAAAATACATGTATTTAAAATTCATTCTTTTTAATTTAATCAAAACAATGTATTTCAAAATACATGTATTTTAAATACATATATTTCAATTACACTCATCAAATTCAAATTTAAGTTCCCAAACACAACCTTAATGAATGGATTTACTCCACCGATTGATCTATTGCTGCCATTCACTTGTCACCCCTCAGGTTTGAGCATTCAATGCATTCTTTGGGCTAATATTGATTTGAAGAGATTACCAATTAATTTATGCTTATTGAAGTAGATATATTTCAATTGGTCTCTTAATTATTCACGCAGGGAAAGAAGTCGATTAAATAATACTGTCTTATGAAGTATTATTTGATTTGATTAATATCTTAATTATTGAAGAGATAATGATATTGACATCTTAAGTATTTGCAATTCAGGGCTTAATAGTGATGAATGTGTTTATGTGGTTAGTAAAGAAACAAGCATCTAAATATCTGGTCATGATCATGTTTACTACTTTTCATGACCCATTTGATTCATTTTTTTGAGGTTTTTCTTCAACTTCTTCTTCTTGAATTAATGATTTTTAAATGATCAAATGATCCATTAGCAAAGCATAAGATGCCAAGGTTATGGCTTTAATGGAATACTTCATTTTGCATCACTGTTTTTCTAGTTTTTTTATCTTTTAGTATTATGCATTTTGTCTTTGTAACTAAGAATTAGAAGGCTTTTGATCCACCATGAATAATTGAATTTTTGCCAGACAAGAGAAATTAGTTTTCCATAAGGAAAAAGTGCCTGTCAGCCTTACCTCCTAAAGATTAAGAGGAAAATTATCTTAAAACTACGTCGTTTCAATAAACTTTTATTGAAAAAGACTAAACTACCTTATTTTTAAAGCATGCATTAAGGTGATATTTGTTCTTTTTCCTCCTAATTTTTTGAAGGTAAGGTGGACAAGCACCAACCCCTTTTCATAAAATACATACATATATATATATTCTTTGCAAGGTTTAACTAAAAGCTGGTCTCGAAGTTAGTGTGGGTTGTTCAATTTAATCAAATCTCTTTGTTTTGGGTGGTTCATAATTAATTATGGTTATCTACAGTTTAAATGTGGAACAAAGTGTTCTTGAATTGAAAACAACAAAACATGAAATACAACTGAACAAAATGTTCGCTTGGAAGCTTGTGGGCACTTCGTTGGTTGCTCCCCGTGGGTGCCATTTGTTAAACCTAGTATCAGGCCTATCCCAAATATGAACAACACCATCCAATAAGTCTTCAGTGAAGTATATTGGCATCTCCTCCCAATGCCACTGCCTCAAACTCTAGACCAGATAGTCAGAAAAGACATGGCTAAGACAGGAACATGGTTGGACCTTCAGGTCAACACTGAGAGTATTGCTGTTGAAATGGGTGAAGCCATTCTTGAAGACTTATCGGAAGACATCATAATAAGCTGCACAACTGCAATTTCAGAACCCGATCATTCTGCACTTCTTGCTTAGGTGAGAGGAAGAGAAGTAGCAGCAAGTTAATGACTTGCAAAAGTTAACTGACTCAATTTTTCACACTCCAAATCAATAATATAGCCCCATCTCATGCCACGGTGAACCAGAAAGTAAGCTGAATCAGTTCTTCTTCACCATAGGATGGGCTCACCAAGGTTGAGGGGCTTCATTTAAATCTCCCTTTTCTGTGGATTGATATGATGGCTTTTCCTAACCTTGCCACTTGAAATCATGTAGATACCACGGGAAGACCTAACAAACAGCAGCACGAATCCATTTGGGCTGTTCCCTGCAAGAATAAACAGTAAATCCCTGTGGTTATTTTCTGTGAGCATTGACTGTTTGATCTTGGTTCGCAGATGACAACAAAGCTATA